AGCTTGCCTCCACATGTGGTTATATACTGTATATGGACAAAGAAAGACTGTCGTCCCTGTGAGAGCAAAACTTGGCTTAAATTGCAGGGCTGCCTGTGATTTTCAACATTAAGAAACCCGGGCCACATTGATTTCTTCACAGCATATTCTTTCGCTGTTATTCGTTTTTTAAATGCCATGTATGACATGAATACCTAATTGGCTACAAATGTATTAAAATAGGGTGGAAGCAGGGCTGGAGAGGAATTAAAAATCTGACAGGAGTCAGTTTTGCATCAGATGTGTGCACTGGCCCGAGTTCCTCTGCAGATAGAAATAATGAATTGATTTCATACACCATCCCTGAACCCATCATCCACTTTTATCCCTCTCATCCACCATTATTCAGTTATTCACTGATTATGTAAAAACTGCTGGTGTTGAGCATTCTGTATTGTTTTTCATAACAGTCATATTGTACCTGTATGTTTACTGTTTTTCCTAATTGTTCCACTTGTCATACACAATTCCATGTCATTTACCTGCTTGTACAGCAAAATCTTTCTGCATGCAACAAATGTGTATAAAGTTATACTGTTTATTGTACCGATGGGAGAGGTGGTGGATGGATCCAACAACCACTGACTATTACCCGGTAGGTCGGTGTTCGCTTCCCATTAAGATTGTAAAGCCAAACCCTGTTATTTTTGCCTAAACCTGACCATGTGCTTTTGTTGAAGAAAAAAAACCATCAATTTGGGTACAGATATAGTGCACGTATTTTGAGAGAGATTGTATGCAAACTGTACATTTCCTGTGAAAATGGAAGCATGAAACAGACAATGTATGTAACAGGCAGAAGTTGACATGGCATCCCAGAATGTCAACAACCAATGCATTCATGCAATGCACGTCATATCTCGATGTTGAAGTCCATGACTAAACGTCGATATGTGATTTTCCACTCCTTCGTCTTTGTTAAAGGTCCAGTGTTTAGGATTTAGGCAGATCTATTAGAAGAAATTGAATGTAACAGTCACACCTATGTTGTCATTAGTGAATACTCACCTGAAATCACTGTGTTTCATTACCTTAGAATGAGCCCTTCATAGTTGGTCATCTTCCACAGAGTTCACCTTGTTGCACCACTATATTTATACCAACCTGGTCTTAAAGAAATACGTGAAAAGACCACAACCTTTTCACACCGTATTATGTGGTGCTGGCATGTGTTGTGTTGAAACAACCAGGTCTCACTCCAAAGTTGTCGAAAATTGGTGCTTAGTCAGTAGGGGTGGGGGGAAAAAAATCGATTTTTAGATGCATCGAGATTCTGTCTTGAACGATGCGAGCATTGATGTGGAAAACTCATAATCGATTTTAATTTTATTTTTATATTTATTTTTCAAATTACCGTAACTTCTCGACCATTCACGCTATCGACATAATTCCAACGGATTCTGAAAGCTGAAAAGCAGAGCTTTCCAGTGTTATACGGTACATTACAGTAGTGACGTCATTACCTGTGAAAGAGGGGAGGGAAGTGAGCACAGCAGGAGGAGAGTGACAGCTGACGAGGAGAGTGCAAGTTGGAGTGATTTAGCGGTGTTTTAGCGGGGTTTTGGTGAGTTTTAGTGGAGTTTGGGTGGCGTTTTCTTTGTAAATACTATTTAGTGTTGTAAATAATAGTATGTGTTTTCACCATAGTTCGTAGTTTTGCCATCGTTCGTCTTTTTTGCAATAGTTTGTATTTTTATAGTTCAAAGATAGTTATAGTCAGTTATAGTTTTGTAAATACTGGAGGAGAAATGTCGAGGAGGTTGACGAGGGACAGGAGAGTCCCGTTGAGATGTGTAGTCATCTCAACCACAGTAAGTAATACAGTTTGTATGCACTGGATATGTATTCCTAGTTTTATTACAATAATGTTTTTCAATATCTAGTGTAAATTTTCTTATTGGCTAGTTTTAGAATCGAGAACCATTTTATAATTGAAATCGTTGCCCTCAGAATCGGAATTGAATCGAATCGTGAGGTGCCTAGAGATTCCCACCCCTATTAGTCAGTGACTTTGACGAAAAAAGCTGTCCTTTTACATTAGCATGATACGCGGCTGTTTGCTGTTATTGTTCAGTTGTGCCTGGTGGTATCAGGGGGACACGCGGTGGGACACTGGATCAGCCTGAAATATTGGTCCTCAACCCCAGGGGCTTACTGTTGTCAGACAATACCGATGGGTTCTGAGATTGTACGTTATTGTATTATGGAAGTAGGCCAGTAAATGAACAATTACTCTAAATTGTCAGTGATGACAGATGAGAAGCCCTTTGACCAAAACCAGGCCATAAGACCTTACTGGGCCATATTCCTTAATCTAAGAAAAATGGAGGGAGCATGGTTTTATGCCTTCGTGCTGGCAATAGCTGTGGCCGGAGGCATTATGTTTTGGGGTTGTCTGTCCATCCGCTTGTACGTCTGTATGTTTTTCCCATTCTTGTGAACACAAGAATGGGAAAAACATGTATCTAAGAACACCTCAAGGGAGTTTCTTTAAATTTGGCACATGTCCACTTGGACTCAGTGATGAACTGATTCGTTTTTGGTGGTCAAAGATCAAGGTCACTGTGACCATGTCTGTCAGATTTTCGTGAATGCAATATCTCAAGAACGCCTTGTGGGCATTTCTTCAAATTTGGCACAAAGGTTGACTTGGACTCAAGGATGAACAGATTTGATTTGGGTGGTCAAGGTTAAAGGTCAAGGTCATTGTGAAATTGCATCCATCTCATTCTCATGAAAGTGATATCTCAAGAGGGGGAATTTCTTCAAATTTGGCACAAACCACAGCTTGGACTCATTGATAAACTGATCAGATTTTGGTGATCAAAGGTCAAGGTTAGTGTGACCTTGCGTCTGTCTCATTCATGTGAACATAATATCTCAAGAAATAAGGGAATTTCTTTAAATTTAACACAAATGTCCATTTGGACTGAAGAACAAACTGATTAGAATTTTGTGTTTGAAGGTCAAAGGTCAAGGTCCCTGTGACCATACAAAATATTTTTTTTTGGCCATAACTCACAAAGTGATATGCTAACTATGACAAAATTTCACACAAATGTCTAATAGGATAAAATGGTGAAGTGATGACATTTTATATTCAAAAGGTAAACTCTCAACTTCACTGTGACATCATAATGTTTTGCATAAAGCACTTTTCTGGTCATTACTCAATGTCATATCTCAGAAACAGAACACTTATCTTGGGTGTCCACCTTGAAACTATCCTGATTGTACAGATCTGCCGTGCTGTTGGGCGGACTGTGGGTGTGAAGCATCCGTATTTTCACAGGCGTGGATGTAAACTGAAGGAGAAACTTGACTGGTGGGCAGAGGCATACAACTACAGGGTGCTAATTCTAGTTTTAAACTCATGCTGAGATACAAAATTGGTAATCTCTACCATAAACTAAAACAACATCACCTGTAATTCTATTGCATTGCTGTGCATTTTTTGTGTTGTTCACAAACTGCTATGCTCTTTTTTTGTGACTTTTTTTTTTTTACTCTGTCATGGATGCAGCTTGAAATGTACAGTATATGAGTGAGTATATGACTTAAAATACAGATTTTCAGTAGTATTATAAAATACAACACTGTTACAGTAAAGGGAGTAAACATAATTCAATTCTTCCATGTCTAGTATTCTAGTACATCACTAGTTTTCACCCATAATTCCTCCTGCTTTTACAGCACAGAGCATATCTATTTGCATGCCCCGAATGTGTATACATTAACATATAATGTACCTCACTATGTCATCTAATGGAAGATTTGATCAGAATACATCAGCCCTGTTAGTGCCTGGCTTTGTTCATTTTTTCAGGAAGCACTGAACACAAAGAAAACAGGTAATAACGGTGGTGTGAATAGCTAAAGGAAGTGTGTGTAGTAGCACTATGATAAAGACATCTAGCTGTCCTGCAGTAGGTAATATCAGCATATTATTTCCATTCATTCACCTCCCTACCTGTTTGTTTTATGTGTGGCCTCTCTTTACACCTGCATCCATTCATTTACCCATTTAACAAGGACAACATTGATTGAGAGAGGTGGTGAGAGGGCCGATTCGATTTCAGGGGACAGAATTGGATTTGATGGTGGCGCATAATAGCTTTCATGGGCTTTTACGGCACTGAATAGCTTAGCTGGAGCTGCCTTGATGGGACTGAGGTGTAATTCTGAGAAGGATCCCGCGGATGGCAGGAGCACAAACATCCTGTTCCTTATTTTCCCCAGCCTGCAGAGCTCTCTGTGCTTTACCCAGAGGAGGTGAGCACAGGTAACCATGTGAGGCTGAGACCTACCTTCAAACTAAAAGAATCAAATTCCCTCATACAAAGTCAAGCTCTCACAATCTGAGATTGGTGTTTCCAAAACCATGCTTAGGTCGATGAGCTGCCACGATGAACAATTTTTCGTGAACTCGGCCGGGTGCTCGTCTAACTGAAAGGAAAGGGGCTAACCTGTTGTGAATTGTCGTTAAAGACACGTTGGCACATTGGCGGCAGCACAAAGGCTGTTTATGTGTGGACCAAAATCCGGGCCTTGTGGCTGAGATAAGATGTATTCAGACTGCACAGCCGCAATTTGGGTAATCAGTCCCTCCTAATTCCTCTCCACTTGCTCTGCTCTGATTTCATTCATCTGCAAATTGCTCTGAGGAGAACAGTTTTGCTAGAATGGGGGACCAATTGTACTCTGTGTATACTTTGTATGTCTATAATATGTTAGCTTTTGAATTCAAAACATTGTCCACCGAGCAATCATTTTAAATTTGCAAGCACTTGCTGTTATACTGTTGTTTGGAAAATAAAAAATGCAGTTGAAAGTGTTTTTTTGCTGCTAAATTGTATATCCAACTGAAAGGGATTTGCCCTTGTTTCTTTCCAACTAGCTATTGTTCATTTCTTGTAAAAAATAATGTGGGATGATGGAGTAACTGAGGTGTTGGTTTGCAGGTACCACAGGGGATGCTCAGCCTGATGCCCTACCTTCGGTGCAAGGCACCTTGCCGCACTTCATCCAGGAGCCAGAGGATGCATATATCGTCAAGAGCAACCCCATTAAGCTGCACTGTCGAGCCGCACCCGCCTTACAGATCTTCTTCAAATGCAATGGAGAGTGGGTGCACCAGAATGAGCACTTTTCCCAGGAGTATAAGGACCTCAACACTGGTAAGTTGAAGCTTTATGACCTTCGTCCAGCCAGTGCTGATATGTAATGTAAGGGAAAAAAGGTTGTGCAGCCATCTGGTGATTCTGTATGATTAATAAAGGAGGGGCAGCTAGTGTTGGAATCCCGGAGCTGAGACGGTGGTTGATTGATTCTCATAAATTTATTCAGTTTTTCCAGGTAAAATCCCTGCAGGAACCTGGAATTTCTAGCTTGTGCTTACCTTTACCTTTTTACCTTGATGTGCTATGATTGTGGTAATGTCACTGGTTCAGCTACTCAGCTGCAGTAGCTTCCTCCAGTTGCTTACTACTAATTCCAACCATTGAGGCACAACATCTGTAAACACACCACATCATTTCAACTAAACATCCAACCACAGCTTTGCTGTTCCTAAAAGAACAGAAACCATGTATTCAATAGTTTCTTTACCTGCCGCTGCAGGTCAGTATAGTGGCATTCCCAAGGGGACTGGGGGGTCCATGGCCACCATGTTATAAATGCTGGCCCCTTTGGTGAAAGTAATTTGGGGCCAACATTGCTATCTTCAAGAGGCTGTGGCACCCTTATTTTTTAATCTAGCTTGAAGGTAGTGATACTTTGTGAAGTTAGACAGTCTAAGGCATCTTTTGGCACCAACCATGTTGACATAACTTGTTGGGAAGGGAGCTTAATAATGCACCAAATTTAGGCTCAATCTTGGCGATGGAACAACTGGCATGGTCATGTTCAAAGGTGTCCCTTGAACCCACATCTCAAGATATCTAAATGAAAATGGATTGTATGGGTACCCACAAGTCCCCCCTAAACTTGAGAAGGCTTGTTTCCAGTATTTTTTTTTCTTACAACCAATGTACTCTATGAAATTAAAACTGTATATGTGTCTTTTTAAGGGTAGATACATAACACATTAAAACAGGATTGTTGTGGAACTCAAAATGTAAACTGTCTTTGCACATCAGATAATTATCATTATTAGCTGTAAAAGAAGAAACCAGGGTGTATCATTGTGTGATTCTTTAACTCTGAACTAGGATAAGTGAATTCCTGAAATTTAGTTATGATTTTTGGTTTTGGTGTGCCACCCCAAGATTTATGGTGGCCCCATCTGGACACCCTTATAAAAAATTCTGAGGGCGCCCCTGGGTCAACAATATTGAGATAGTCATATGCATCCATAGAACCATTCAGACTTTAGTAACTAGTAAGAGGATATTCTGAAAGCCAAAAGATTAAAAACATTCTATTTATTTGGCATTGTTTTTTTCCTTTCCAAAGTGCACTTTGAAGAAGTAGTAAATGCACATATAACAAAATTTGACTGAAACAAATAATGCTTCTCATTCATGAAACGTGAGCATAATGAATTTGAGAGGAAAGTGTTTGCAGAAGGAAGTTTAGGTGTATTTTGGCATTCATCAGGGTGTTTGTAGCTCCGATTAGCTCATAAATAAGGAATGCACATAAATACTGCTTGTCATTATTAGATATTAGAAGTTTAATTTGTATTGTGCTTTGTTATGTTCACTAATTTTAGTACCAAGAATGTTTATGTGCAAATCTACTCATGTTTACTAACATTTTATGAATGAGACCTAATTAATGTAAAACTCTCTATGTATTTATCTATTAAACAATTAATTTGGCTGTTGGAGCAGATCCCTATCACCATTAAACTGAAATTACTTGTAAAAAGCAGCATGTGAGAATTGATCTCTAGAAGATCAAATATCTAAACTTGGTTGGATTAGCATTGTCTGAAAGAGGTTACAGTGTTCACATGGGTTTCAGAGCTTAGGGAGGTACCTTTTTATTCACCTTTTAATTAATTTATGATTGTTAAATTTAAAAGAAGAAAGTATGTGATGAGAGAAATATTTCAGTCCTGTCTGTTTTTCACTTAAATTCCTTGAATCCACTGAGGAAAAATTCCTTCACTGCTGAGAAGTTATTATTAGAGTGCAAGCATTGTTCTCTGTGTTAACACAGACTTTCACCAACAAGGTGAGAAGTGAAGTTCTAATTTAGCAGCAAAAAAGAGTAAGAAAGCATGTGTAATTAAGTAGCCTTGGAAAGTGTATGAAAGCCACAGGCTGTCATTATGTTTTGAGTTTGGTTTGTCTGTTTGTCAGCAGGATTACGTTTAAAACTACCAGCCCAATTTTCATCAAACTTGGTGAAAGGATGTAGCATGGACCAATGAAGAACCCATTCAATTTTGGAGCAGACCTGAGTAGGTGGTACACAAATTACTTTTCATTTTCGTTAACATTGCAAGACAGGGCTTTTGGCCTTGGCGGAGGCCTAGTTCTGTATTTGCTACAAGTATACAATGCAATATTTTGTTCACTAACTGAAAACCGGAAGGATCTATCATCATGTATTAATGTAGCATTTCACTCTGCATGTAGATGCTTTCAGGTTCTGACTACAGCTACTTAGACTGACCTTGAATAAGAATATCAGTGTGGCCTCAGATGGTTTAAGCCTAAAAGCCAACACAGGCAAAGCAGCTTCAGTAATCATTGCTGGCTCATGCAATATGTGCAGTATATGCTCATTTTAAGCTCCTTGCAGTGCTAGATGGAGGGACATACTGCACCACATCAGCACAAATTCTGCTAGTTTCATGAGTCGCCACTCACAGAAATGTGCAGTACTGATTTCTAAATGCTTTTCTGTTATGATCTCATACGCTGAAATAGTGTTACACCTGTATAGTTCCTCCTGACTGCTGCTGAAAATGGTCATAAAACTGCAAGTTTATTTCACATTAAATATTTCAGCTCTTAAATAACATTTTTTAAGTTAATATTTAATTTAACTGCAGCTGCTGTAGAGTTCATGATCAGTGAGTAGGTGTTATGGGTCACCCTGCCTCAAAGAGCTTAGCCTGAAAGAATGTCACTGGTGTGTGTGTGTGTGGAGAGTGAAGTTTCATTGAATTCTAGGAGGGAACACTGAATACCTTTTAGTTTGGAATGAAAATAGAAAAGTGAATACTGACACATTTAATTGCAAAATAGCCCACATTGGTACCAAGGGTTATTAGCCAAAGTGACCCCATCTGGTTTAAAGACCCTGAGAACTTGGTTTCTAAACTGACATATTTCTTGACAAAATTAAGTATTCATGATAAAATGAGCCACAAATAAAGTTTAAAAACATTCTCAGTTTTCAATTCAGATTTTAAGATTCAACAAAATAAAAGCAACCCCACAACTATCATCATATGATCCCACAGTGTTTATGTAGGATCCATTTCTGTACTCTAAGGCATTTACTGAGAAAATAGGTTTTCAGAGCCTTCAAGAAATCAAAATTCTTTACAGTCAGTGGTTGCCAACAGGTCTGATTCTGAGTGGATCACAAGTGAATTAACAGTTTTTACTGTGACTTGACATGGATCTCTAGTCAGAGGTCGTGTGATGTTGTTATTGTACCAAGAAACACGAAAGGGAGGCCGCTGTTTGTTAGTGGTTTCCTATCATCAACTTTGGTTTCCTTTCCCAAAGGAAAGATTGCAAAAGCAAAAAGGTGCTAAAAAATGATTGCCTTGTCGAGTGTGGCCTGACGAGGCTGGCTGCTAGTGCTAGCATCAGAGGCAGTGCTAGCTTGGACCTCCGGGTTCGTTGCTAAATGCTTTGCGTGGAGGTGATTTCAAGCTTGAAGTACTCTGATGGTATGAAAATTCCTTACTGCAGAAATTGCAGAGAACAGTGCTCCTATCAACAGTTCCATCTGGGCGTTTTTCATTCACTGGGCCAAGCAAGGTCTTCTCGTCTGCCCCCATCATGTGACAAAGCCACTGTGGCCATCAGTTACACACCCTGTCAGAGGGCACCACAGAATACGATTAATCAGCATTAACTTTTTTGACAAGTTATTTTTTCTGTGATTAATTAATCGAAATTAACGTGTTATTTTGACAGCCCTATTGAAAATATGATTGTATTTTCACATGTATGAAATGTGCACCTGGTAAATATAGAATTGTTGTTTTGGGTCGGCGGATCTTGTGAATGTATATATATATATATATATATATATATATGTATACATCTTTGAGTTCCCCAACTTCCCCAGCTAAAATAGCTCTTTAAAGCTTGCTCAACTTTATTAATAAAGACCTACGTAACAAGTCAGCAAGGCTTGAACATTGAACATGACTTTTCCCTGTTTTTATCTGTCTCATCAGTACACCTGCTTTATTGGCCTGTTGTTACCCTTATTAGGGATATTAAATGTTAGGCTGTGGAAATTAAATGACTTTTAGAAGCCTCAATAAACCTGCTTCTGTTTGAAATTCCATGGCAATGTTTTAATTGTTTTGAAAGCCTTAAATACACCTACTAGTTACATTTTTTTTTGTTCATTGGGTTTCAGCCCCAGTGGCACTCTGTTTATTTTTTTTAAGGTTCAGAAATTAAATAGAGTAGGACTTAAGTGACTCTATGTTTGGACCATAATCACTGAGGAGATGTGTGGACCCTGGGGCTAGACCAGCTGGAAACACTTAAAATAATGGATGAATACTGCTGTAGGTCTATATTCAATACATGTTCAGCTGATTCTGATATCAGTTTCAGGTTGAGGTTGAAATGTGAGGGAAGCAGTGGTGGGTCATACCAATGAAGTCAGGTGGAAGCATGTTTATTAGAGGGCCTGACTGAGGCCTCCTGAAGGGATTTCTGGCAAACAACTAAGGCAATGTGACACCTCGGCTGGAATACTCTGTGATTAGAGGCTGTGAGAGAGCCGTTGTTCTTGTATTCATGAAGGTCCCTCCACAGGAAAGAGGCTTTAATTGCTTTTGGAAGTTCATTATAGTGTGATTGCTGTGCTGTGAAATTGTCGTAAGCTTGATAATGGCAAAATGAAATTTGGAACTTCAGTTGTTTGCTGTTCTGTGTGGTATTCGTCAGCTCACTTTATATGCCGCATCAACGCCCAGCATCCAGCAGGAGGGAAGCTAATCAGTGGATTTGACAGATAAGAGTGA